TTGTAGACTTGAACTCTAGGACATGGGTTGTGTGGATTCAATCTTGCATGTGCATGTAAAGTCATTCCTAGACATTATTTGAGATGTATAAGTTTGGTTTAACTTATTAATTTTGCATAAGTTTTGAACTTATTGTTTTTTTGAGGCTTGTAAGGATCATGTTCATGTGATGGCTAGGGTTTGGCCCTAATATGGATTCGTGAGTTTCCAAAGTCATATAAAGTGCGCAGTAGGTAATACCTTGTGAGTCGTAATTGCCCGGAATAACTTATACACGTGCGCACTAGGTAGTACCTTGCGGGCTAGTAACTCGAAATAACTCGATTGGTCTGCAGCCAAGGATCCTAGTCTTTTCACTATTTGATTTCGCATTTAAATTCAAGTTGTTAATCATGAATTACTTGTAACTTGTGAATTTGTGCTTATCTTGCATTTTAGATCTTATTTGGTATACTTGAGACTGTATACTTGCTTTATATATTAGATCTTATTTAGTATACTTGAAACTGTATACTTGTTTTGTGTAATTAGATCTCATTTAGCATACTTGAACTTGTATCCTTGGTTGTATATCTAAACCCTATTTAGTATACTTACGTATTGTATGTGTGATTTATGCAATCGGATTTCATTTTGTATACTTGTGTTGTGTATGCTTGTCTTATGCGTAATTCATTTAGTTTAGTATACTTGTGTCTGTATACTTGATTTATGAGTTTTCCATGTTAATTGTATATTTGTATGTGCATGCTTAGACATTGCATAACTTGTTTAATATGGATTAGTATACTTGTAAATGTATGCTTCTATATCGAATATCATGTTTTAATATTGACTTGCATACTTGAGCATGTATACTTGTATATCGTGGATCAATTCAGTTGCATGAGTAGCTTAGGATGCTCCCTGAGTCTAACCTTTGACATAGACATTAGGTTGCATGACCCTTTTTAAATTGTTTCAAGTCAATGTATAAATCTCTAAAGAAATCGTGTCGATGCATGCTCATTCTCTACGAGTAAACTTGTTTACTCACCCTGAAGTTACTGGGGGGCTGTTTCAAGTACGAAGACTTGGTTCGTGATGCTTATCGTTCATTGGGATGACTTCTAGCTTTTAAGTTCCATTTCATGCAAGTGTTAGCATGAAATGCCATTTGTAGCCATTTTGTCAAATGTGTATATTTGATTCCAAACTAGTATTATGTGTTTAAGCACACTTTTTGACACTCATTCCATGTATATAATTTGTGGCCAATGGCCAAACTTTATTTGAAATCCATGAATATTCATGAATGTTGAATTTTGCCGTTAATGAGAAAAGTATGAAAACTAGGGTTTTGATATGTCATTCTCGCACCGGTGTGTGTATTTTGTGTGAAATTCATCCTTTAGCATTCATTTGCCATATGTGAGGTGTGGCCAAGGGCCAAACACCATTTAGTTTTCATTTTTGCATTTTAGTTCACATATTGCATTTTTGGGCTAAAATAGTAGAAACTGAGCCTTTAAGGGTTTATTTTTAAATCGGGTGGTGCAAAGTGTGTTCCAGCACTTCCACTAGGTCTCATTAATCATGCATGAAGTGTGGCCAAGGGCCAAACGATAATTTGAAATCATTTGTCAATTTTAAATTTCAAATTTTCCATTCATGTGCATTTTCGCCTTTTTGGCCGTTAGGGGGTCAAATTTTGCATCGGTAGTATTTTTAAACCGTGGACCATTGTAACACATCCTAATAGGTAAGTTAAGTTTGCATGCATGATCGTTTCCAGGCAAAACCTCTTCCTTGGCAATTTGAGCTTCCTATGGACTCATTTTGTATTTTTATTGCATAATCCGGTTTAAGGGCGTTTTGGAGTTTTTCTTTGGGAAATAAATTCCAGTCTTTATATGGTCACTTAGAAAACGTGATTTTAGAGGGGGTTTCTTTTTTGTGTTTTTCCAGAAAATGTCATCTTGGTACCGGAAATCCCTTACAAAGTTCAGCTTTCAGTTTTACATTTAGCATATTTATGACCCTCATGACCAGATTTCATGGAGGGGCATTCTAGGCATTTTATAGTCCATTTTCTTTGTTTCCGTCCATGGTGCCGGGTAGAAATTTTGATTTCAGGAGGGGTTTCTTTTCTGTGTTTTTCCATAAAAATTCATCTACTAGCCCGTTTTTGCTCTCAGTTGCAGACAGTCACTGTAGCATTTTTTAACCCTCTTGGTCTAAACTGATCTAGGGGCATTTCGGGAATTTTCTTTAAAAAATAAATTCCAGTCTTGATATGGTCACATAGAAAACATGATTTTAGGAGGGGTTTCTTTATAACATTTTTTCAGAAAATATCATCTCGGACCAAAAAATCCCGCGTCAAATCTGATTTCCTGTGCGCACCTGCACTATTTGAAAAAGTCTGTTGTAAGGGCATTTTGGGATTTCACGTCAAAAAAAAAAATTTCTTTTAACATGGTCAGCTTGGAAAAATTATTTTAAGGAGGATTTCTTCTTCGTATTTTTCCAGAAAACATCGTTTAGTACCTCAAAACGGCGCACGAACTTCAGCATTTTGCCCAAGTTACTATTCACGACCGCGGCGACGTCAAAACTTTGTTTTGACTTTTGTCTTCCATTCGGACTCCGAATCAAGTGATTCTTGAGTCTAACTTGATTAATTTTTCACTGTCTTCCTAGTGGTGTACTCGGCAGCACCCGATTTTATATTTTGAGAAATGACCATTTTGCCCTTGGGGCTATTTTTGTCCGATTTTCTTGTAATTCCCTTCCGTTACTTTATTTTGAATTCTGTGACTTCATGGAAAGTTGCGGATGTGTTTTGGGAATGATATACATTCTAGGGACGTCATTTCTATGTAAAATGACCATTTTGCCCTTGGGGGCTTATTCGTCATATTTCTGATCTTTTGTTTTCGCGTCCTTTCTCATTGAGTTCCACGACCTCATGGAAGGTCATCAAAGTGTCTTAGAAGTGTGTTGTGCCTTGGGAGACAGTTTTCTTGTTTCTTGCTTCTGCATCTGGATCCGTTATCGGGTCAATCTTCGGTTTATCATAGGACGCGCTGGCCTAAAACCAGGGTCGTCACAGGTGGTATCAGAGCGTCCGGGTTCGAATACCTTAGACGACGGGTTTTGGGTGCATATCATACTCACGTTGTTTTGCTTTGATGTGTCATTGTATCTTGATAACATGCCTTGTTTGATAACATGTCTTGTATGATAACATATTCACATGCTCAGGTGTTTTGAGACATCTATCATTTGTTAAGCATGTTTTGTGTGTATATATGCTTCCTGATAACATGGTCTGTGTCGTTATCATGTCCTGGTGTGATATCATGTCTGCGTGCTTATGATAGCATGACCGTATGCGACCTATGTCAGCATACCTTACGTTTTTCATTCACGTGTATCGTCGTACCATGTACTTACTTGCTTCTTGATAACATGTTTTGATTTGATAACATGTCTGGTTGCTTATGTGGCACCTAGAGTAGGTAGTCCGTTGCTATGTTGCATGCTAGTTGTTTACTTTCATGTCTGGTTTTGGCATTTTCACTTGGGGTCTGTCGTATCCCTTGGATGCGTTCTTGTTTTATGAGTTTCTTCCTTAGATAGGAGAAATTCATTCCGCAAGGACCCATGTAGGAAACTTTCTTGTATGTTCTGTCGGTTGATGCGAGTAAGCCTCATGTGAGCATAACGTCATAGTCTCCTTCCTCCTCTTCTTCTTTTGAATTTTTTTTTTTTTCTTCTTAAAATTTCGTCTTCTTGCTTATGTATGGTGTTTGTGTTGTAACCCTTTTTTTCTCTATTATTCTTCTTTAAAATTATTATTGCAATTTTATGAACACAATGTCTTCATTTTTAGATTTTAGAATTTTTTTTACGGTAAATTTCTGCAACCAGTGACATACAATTTTAATCTTGATCACTGCACTTTTATTTTTTGGTTTGTAATCTTGTTGCACTATTAATTGTACTGTTAATTTTTAAAAAAAAAATATATGCACCCATTAACCAAATTCCTGGCTTCATCCCTACCTCTGAATGCTTTTATTATGGGTGGCGCATTGTCCTTGAAGATCCTTTTGTTGCCTTTGGTCTTGAAGTGTGTTTCGGAGCTTTGCGGAGTGTTGCTCCTAGTAACCAATGACATGCTAGGGTGATTTCTTTGGATTCGAAGGTGACGTGGAGTAGTGTTCTAGGGTTTTGGACTTCATAGTTTCCCACTTTAGGATTGATATAATCTAAGGTGATACCATGGGGTTTCGAACTCGAGAGCTATTTTTCAAGGTTTGATATGACTTGGTTTTGTGTCCAAATGCTTTTAGACTCGAGAACGGACTCTTCGATGTTTGTGACCATCTAATAATTTTTCAATTGGATACCGTTGTTAAAAAAGGTTGTTTTTGTGATTTAATTCTCAAAATTTAACTATGCTATTAATTGTCCCTGTTGTTATAGAGATTTGTTTGATTAAGAGCACAAAAAATGGTCATCTAATAATTTATCCTATTTAACACCTTTGTTCACATAAGAATGGACAGAAGGGCTCCCTTATTAAGCAAAATATGAAAATAATTTAGGTTTTATTAATTTTTTTTTTTTTTTCACATACTTCTTTTTTCAAGACATGAATATTAGGGATTAGTGATTAGAGAAGAAGGAAAAGGTTGATCCAAGGCTCAAACACCGAACACGAGCTCCTAAACACGTAAAGCAACACTTGCTTTTTTCACATTGTTCTCATTGGAAGGTTTTATGATGATTATTGACAGTAAATAATGTTTTCGAGCTTTGTTATTGCTTATTCCTTGATGCGTTCAACCATGATTTTATAAATTTGTTTACAGTGACTTGTCAAATGGAAGTTTCAGATCTACTTTTAATAATAAAATGGTACTACTATGATTATCATCAACCTAGAAATTCTAGACTAAATAGTACTTAAATTCCATGCCAATATGATTATATCATAAAAGCAGCAGGCATCTAACCAACAATATGGTATACCTTTTTTTTTTTTACACAATTCTGATAGAGACTACACCAATATAATTTTCTCCAAAATAGTGTACAAAAGATTGAAAAAAAAAATTGGCTTAGCAATGTCCAATCTGGATATTGTACAAGGATTGAAAACAATAAAAAGATTAGCTAAGCGATGCCCAATCTGGATATGGACATTCATAAATCCAATCAGGTCCAGTGTATCGAAAGCAATGAAGCCATAAGCCCTCTTCATTACCATCATATCTGCATTGGTGAAAGTAATTCTCAGGGGGGAGACAAATAAAATGACAACAACTTAAGGAAATGCTAAAAAGATTACTCGAAAAGAGCAACCAGAACCATCAAAATTGATCTTTTATGAACGACATGCAATTGAAACAGCCGATAAATAAAGAAGCATATCTATACATGCAGCCTTTTCAGATGAAGCAGTTGAGATTGCAGCCTTTTCAGGAATGCTGCTTCTAAAAATTTTGCAAACATTTGTTGCAATGGAAAAATAAAAGCTCAAATAATGAGAGAGAGAGAGAGATTAAAAATTCACATCTCAACGCTAAAAAAATATTGGCTCCATAACCCGCAGCTAGCCAACAAAATTTGTTGATGCAACTGTTGTAAACCAGAAGGAATATGGAACTAATTCGCAGAAATCATAATCAACTCAACCTCAATTTACAAGTGTATCGAAATGTATTTGTATTCTGAGGTATAATGGCTCCAACATTATGAGAATCAATTTCATTTAGTGGAAAGGTATGGATTAGAAAGAGCGAACTGCCAGAAGTTTTCAGCATAATTCTCATACACACTGGCGAAAGAATTCATCTGATCTAAATTTATTGTTGAGCCGTGTAAACTTTGCCTTTCTTTCCATCTCATAGTAACCTTATACTTGATCTCATAATTAAGGGGGAAAAAAAGACTGGATTTGATGTTATCCCCATGTATAAGCCTATGTCAACGAAAAATTAGCTTTCAGCCAGTAGTAATTCTTATGAATTCTTGAACATTCCCCTTCTCTACTTCGTAATCCTTTTTCTTCTAAGAGCTTTCATATTATAGAACGTTGGAAACTACAGAATCCTCTCGCACGATATATTCATATCGGCTTAGTTCAAATCAAAATTACCTCTCTTTCGACGCGGAACCGACCAACCCGTCGTTGCGATAGTCATGGATAATCGATTCCATAAGCCAGTCGATGCCCTTATCGGTGGAGTACAATCCAACCTCGTTAACAATTTAATGTGGTTCAAAATTAAACCTAATTAATTTGTCTCACTTTCTGATCCAAACATTGAGAAAGTACTTCAAGTCAGACTTCAATTGTCGAAACTACAAATGGACTACGACTCGCCCAGTCTCAGTATCCAATGGAAAGTTCTATACGAGCTTACTCAAGAACCTGAAACTGCTACGATTCCCACAATTGACTCCAAACTAGTCACTTTGTTTGAACCTCGACCCTTTGATACTATAATTGAGCCAAAATTACTCAATTGGACTGATCTAGAAATCCCTCGAAATTGGTTATTTGACAACATCAATTCAGAACCAAAATTACGTATCACAGAACCTACTGTAGCAACTATTCATGCCTCTGGTTCAAATTTCTATATCACCAATAAAGAGAAACCTCCTCAGTTACAGCGCTCTACCTCAGCACGTAGTACCGGATGGGAAAAAATTCTTCCTCCTCGTTTGTCGACCGATGCACCTCCTCGGCGACGATTTACTTGGACTGAAAAAGGAAAAGCTACCATTGACCTTAAAGGAAATGCTCCTTTTCTACCTGGTTCAAATCATTCAATAAACTCCGCAAAGTTTTTTTATTTTCGCACAGGAAAAGATGAAATTCTCATTGCCCCTTCACAAGGGAAAAAACGTAAATATACTTATGTCAACGGTATATTTAATTTTAAAGGTTATAAACCCTATAGCCTTTGCGTTCTTATCGATACAGGAGCAACTACTAGTTGCTGCCGTTACAATGCTATTCCATCAGAAAAATGGCAGCAAATGAAGCATCCCATCGGTGTTCAAGGAATCGATGCTGAAGCCCCTCTGAATGTCATCCAATTTAAAGCAAAAGATGTTGCTATTTGGCTGAATGATAAAAAATTTATCATTCCCAAAATCCTTTGCTTTCCATACATGCATGGAGACTTCATTCTTGGATGTAACTTTATCTATAGTTACCTCCCTTTACAGTTAAAAGAAAAAACCATTTCTTTAACCTTAAAAGATCAAACAGTTGTTGAAATTCAGATTCAAGAAAATTTAGCTGCTGTTTGTAATGAAAAATTCTCTCCACCAAAAAGAGAGAATACAGATTTACTTGTCTTAACCGATACACACTGGTTATATAACTCCCTACGAGATAATTTCTCTGATAACCCATTAAACCTATGGAAGAGAAGTCCTCGTTTTTGCAGCTTAAAACTCAAAGACGACCACGTCATCATTCGGGTCAAACCAATGATCTATCTCTGCAAAGATATTGACGAATTCGACGCTCAACTTCAAGACCTTCTTGAAAAGAAGCTCATTGAACGAACACGCAGCCCTCATAGCAGTCCTGCTTTTATGGTTAGAAACCATAGTGAGGTAAAAAGAGGTAAAGCCAGAATGGTCATAAACTATAAACGGCTTAACGAACATTTAATCTTTGATGGCTATTTTATTCCTCGCAAAGATGTTCTTATCAACCAAACTCGCGGTGCAAAAATCTTTAGCAAGTTTGATTGTAAAGCAGGTTTTTGGCAAAATCAAATTACGAAAAAAGTCTAAACCATTAACTGCTTTCAGTACTCCACGAGGTCATTATCAATGGACCATTATGTCCTTCGGTCTCAATACTGCACCTCAAATATATCAACGATGGATGGACTCTATCTTTAATGATCTTAAAGACTTTGTAGTCATTTATATCGATGATATTCTGGTCTTCTCTAAAACAAGAGAAGAACATAAACACCACCTCCAGTGTCTTTCAGAAAAGTTGAAAAACTATGGAATCATCTTATCTCCAACCAAGATAGATGTTGAAAAGGAATCTATTGATTTTCTCGGTCTAGTTTTAACCCACAAAGGAATAAAGCTACAAGATCACATCATTATTAAAATTCGTGATTTTCCTGACGTTCTTCAAGATAAAAAGCAGCTACAGAGTTTTTTGGGAATCTTGAATTATGGTCGGACATTTATTGAAGGTTTGTCTCAAAAGGAACTTCCTTTAATAAAGAATCTCCAAAAAAATACAACTTTTGACTAGACTGATAGTGACACCATCATTATCCAACAAATCAAAGCAGATCTCGTTCATATCCCTGAAGTTTATTTTCCTCAAAACGGTGATAAACTCATTCTCGAAACCGATGCCTTCGATTTCTGTTGGGGATGTGTATTAAAAGCCATTCCTAAAGAAAAATGGGCTGAAGATACTTCTCCCATACACATGATACGCGCCCGTAAGACTCCTATCACCAAAAGGCTTCAACAAGAAGAGTTAATTTGTGGCTATAATTCTGGAAAGTTTAAACCCAATGAACAGAATTATATTATTTATGAAAAAGAACTTTTGGCTATTAAACTCGCCATTAAACGTTTTCATATTTATCTTGCTCTAGAAGACTTTATCATCCGCACTGATAACCAAGCAGTGAAAGATTTCCTTATAAACAAAAAGAATTGTTTAGACGGACGGCGCTTAAAATGGTATAATTTTATTGTACAATATTCTTTTGCTAATGAACATATCAAAGGAACTAACAATTTTCTTGCAGATTTCTTAAGCAGACAAAAGGAAATATCTAACCCTGATATTTCTCTCTCCATGATTACAGATGAATGAACAAAGTTCTCCACCTAAAGATAAAGACGGTTGGATCACTATTACTAAAAAAGTAATTGATAAACCAACTCCATCACAACCAAAAAAATGGTTTGTGGTTTTTGCTGGTCACCACCCAGGCATTTACGAAGAATGGAATGATTGCCACAAACAGCTCCGTTCCTTCAATGGTTCGTGTTTTAAAGCTTATGATACACTTATAGATGCCCAAACCGTTTTCTATAACGTGGGTCAAGCCTCTCAAAAAATGTTTTCAAAACATCAGGATGCTACAGAAATTAACGACTTCTATAATCCTGGTCTTCCAAACGTTCTTTATGAAGAAATTAATAACGTTTGGAAAGCCCATAAACTTGGTGCACATAAGAAATTCTGAGTTCTCTTACAGCACTCATAGCTGAACAAACAGCCATGACTGCTGAGCTTAAAAAGCTTTGCATACAGATCTGTCTTACTATTGACTGGGAAAAAGATTTTTCTTTATCTCAAATAAATTGTTTTCTGAAACTTGCCCAGTTAGTAGGAGAACAAGATTTTCCTCAAAATACGTTTGCCAAAATCAACCGTATCTGTCTTCTTGAAAAAGCAAGAAACATTCTTCCTCCTGATCTTTTTCAAATGATTTTCTCTAACATCGAAGATCATTATAAAATCATTAAAAACTATTACCATAAATTACACGAAGACATCAATACCTTTGATGTACTCTATAATGGCAAGAAAGTCCCAAAACTGGATCTTTTCATTATCCCATGTTTCGAATGGCCCATGGATCCAATTGACTGGGGAATTGTGAACAAACTCACCTTCACCTCTACTGATTCCTACCGCCCTTTTCCAGCCATGATCAAATCCATGGTTTACAAAGTCAGTTTTCGATGGAATTACAGCCGTCACCTCACTTTTTGGATTTCCAGTACCCTTGGCAGTCGAGAAAAAACTCGATTTTTCCAACCATATCAAATTTGGTACCTCAAACTCACAGCACATGATGAGTACGAGCATCATCAACTTCTGAACTCCGAAGAAATTGCCAACAGCATTTCTCCATACTATTTGGAAATTCACAGTTTCTTACACCTACAAGATACTGCTCGCCGTATTAGAGATGGATCCTACAACAACCATGATCGGATGTACTATTGTTGTGACGGACGCAGACTATTTGTCACTTCTCTAAATGTATATTATGAAGAAAATGGAGAACATCAAATCCAGGTTGCACAAGCATTTCTACAAGAAATCATTAACATGACCACACTGGATATTCCCTCTCGTGTTAAAGAAGGCGCCGACAGGCTAAATCTTGAATGGGATATCTCCGATGCTCAATCACCAGCCAGCACCCCTCCATTGGATGAATATGAACTCCATAACATCATCAATGCCA